TGATCAAGCAGAATCGGTGAGACTGATTTTTGCTTTTGTGTGATATTTTTGAGTACTTCAAGAGTTTTATAAAGATCCTGAATTTAGTGAATAAACTGATTTATTTAGTCAAATAAACTGATTTTGAAATGTTTAGCTAAAGTGTTTGAGATATTGCTATTGTTAAAATAATGAAACTTTCGGTCCTAGCACCATAAAACAAAAACAAAAATGTAACTGTTCTTTAGGCTATATTGTTTATTTCATGTAAGTGCCTTTATTAGTTTTACATTTTCAGCTATATCCTTCTCTATTTTTAGTACTTGCAAACAACTTGGTGCATACTTTTTACACTTAAGTACTATTCAGGCATTTCTTGTGGGCAGCCCTTAATTATTAAGTGTATAGAAACAATTTAGTATAAACTTGCTCTTATTACAAGACCAGTTTATATTCATTTGTAAACATAACAGATTTAAATGATTTGTATTATTACATAGCTTTCAGGTTGTTGTGAGATCCATAATATATTTAAAATCTTGCACAGTACTTGACGTAATAGCTCAGTTATGATTGTGATTGTTGTTAAATATTTCATTGATTCTTAGATGTACATTTTTTCACTTTGATGCCTCTTGTAAATTGGAAGTTATTTTCCCTTTTAAGTGTTACACAGATGTTGCATTTTAAAGTAGATAACATCTTAGATTTATTGGAAGTTATTGAATACAAAAGGCCTTTTATATAGGCTTCTCTGAATTTTTCTACATTAATTTCTTATAATCTATTTTAGGAATTGGACATAATGACAGTTAAAACTCAAATTCCTTATTAACTGAAAATCTGAGTGATATATTTTCCTCATGTTATGGTTGAGTGTGAGAAGAAATACTGTAATTCAGTTTCTGTGCTGCAAAAATACTAATTGAACACCAGATCCCTTGTTTGCTGTGTGGGCATTTACAAAGACCTGTATACCCTTTTACGATACAGGTGTAAGAATAATGTTACTGTCCAGAGAATTACTTACTGATTTGTTCACAGTCTTCTAAATCTTTCTGTTCTTTGCTGCATTTATTTCATACTTCTCCCCTACTTACCTTTGGTTTTGCTGGGATTCAAATCCAGGCAGGCCCTCACACCTGCTTGGCAAACACTACTGCTGAAGTACATCTTAGCCTTATGTATGCTGAAACTTTCTTCTTCAGTGTGTACAGGATTATTAATGTCTTATGATGATCCTTTTCTGAAATGTCTTTTTACCTTTGGTAATAGTCACAGTCTTATTATGATAGTATCATTTGCTTTATTAAGCTTGATGCATGCATAGACAATTTCCATTCTTTTATTTCTAACTTATCTATGTCTTTTTAAATTAAATTTTTGTGAACATTTTACATCTTGTGTTCATTTTGGCAAATCTTTCTCTTTATTGGAGTATGTGGTATATTTATGTTTAATGTCATTATTGCTGTGATTTTATTTAAGTCCATCATTTTACTCTTATTTTCTGTTGCTTGTATATTGTTTTTACTTTTCTTTTCTTTTTTTTTTTTTTTTTTTGGTACTGGGGATTGAACTCAGGCCCTTGCACTTGTGAAGCATACAGTGGAACCACTGAGCCAAATCCCCAGCCTTGCTTTTTATTGTTGTTGTTATATTTTTCTAATATTTCTAATATTTTAACTTTCTATACATGTTTTAGTTATATCTTTTGCCTTTTTAAATTTTGGTGACTAATAACTTTCCAGATTATAATATGTATCCTTTGTTTTGTTATAGTATAACTTGCTGCTATATCTTCTATTGCCTAAGCTACTGTTGTGTGTCACACTATTGTATGAGTTATGTCCACATATTTTCAGTTTTTGCTGTAATTCTTCCTTTTATAGAAATTAATAGAAAAGATACCACCTTTTATATTGTACTATGTACTTAACACAGTTTTCTCACCCGTTTTTTTGCTTTCATCTGTTATTTCTCATCATCCCAAAGGACTTTCCTGTAGCATATCTTTTATGCAAAGTCTGTTAGACTGTTAGAGACAATTTTCTTGGTTTTTATTTGAACATGTATTTGACTTTATTTCTTTTTTCTTGGTATTGGGTATCAAACTCAGGACCTTGCTCTTGTGAGGCAGGCACGGTGCCACTGAGCTAAATAACCAGCCCCTCACTTTACTTCTTTTACAGAGGATACTTTTGTTGGTTATAGATTTCTAGATTAATAAAGCTCCCCTCTCCCCTTTTCAGTTCTATGAGGATTTTCTGTTGCCTCTTCAGTGGTTTCTGATGAGAAGCTGTTAGTATTTATGCCTCTGCATTTAAAGGATTGTTCTGCCCTGGCTATTGCCAAAGATAAACAAGTAGATATGTTTCAAAGGCAATAAAAACAGATTTTATTCCGTAGCTACTACAGAATAAAAAGGAATGGTTGAGTTCTGTTCTGACTTACATAGAGATGACTGGGCATTAAATGGAGAATAAGGGAGTAGGAATTTGGGGCAGAGGCTCAGGCAAAGTCAGGGATGTGAATGTTTACAAAAAGCAGTAACAGCTACTCATTGTCACTGGGATTGGTCTCATCTGTGTGTGCTGATGTTTATTAAAGTCAGGTTTATACCCTCCCTTAGACTGGGAGACAGAGGCCTTCCTGATTATTATATTTGAGCGAAATGACTTTCAAGTCTTTGAGAAAAATTCCTTATTTGTAGGAGATATGTCTAAAAGAGTAGAAGGATTTGTAGTATACTTGCTGTAAAAAAGGGAGGACAGTGGTTTTTCATTAGGTGTTATGTGGAACAAGTGGTAACTTCTCTTGCCATCTTTCAGCTTTTATAGACAGGAACTCAAAGTGAATGGATTGTACAAGGGCTGCTAAGCTGCTAGAGAGAATGCTAGGTAGAGTGGTCAAATTGCAGTGGAGTGGTTTGAGTGGAGTTGTTCATGCCTCAAATTTTTGTAGCAGTTTGACAGCAATTTACCTGAGTATGATTTTTTTGTTTGTGAATTTCTTGGGTGTATGAATTAAGTTTTTTTATTAAATTGAAAAAGGGTCAATTTTTTTTTTTAATCTAGTATAGTTTAAATATTTTTTGGAGTCTTTATTTCTGAAACTGTGTGATACTGAGATTGTTCATTTTGTTAGTCTTTTATTTCTATTCTTCTGATTTAGTAATTTCTATCAGCTCATCTTTAGAATTACTAATTTGTTTGTCTTTAACTACCAGGATAATTTTAATTTGAGTTTGTATTTTCAGTTCCTGTATTTCTATTTTAGTAATTTTCATTGCTCAGCTGAGATTCCTGATCTCTCTTCATGAAGTTAATGAACGTATATTTTAAAATAAACCTTCCAATTTTGTGAAGGTGTTATTACAGTAAAAAAACTAAGGTCTATCACTCAGTGGCTAAATTATACTTAAAAGTTTGGATCTTTCTGCTTCTAGATCGATTACATGTTCCTTACAACTACCGTTATTCTTTGGTTTGTTTCAAGGCTTCAGTAGAGCACAATTTAAGCTTTTTATACTCTAATTTAGATTCTAGTTCTTATGCTAGTCTCAGAGGACCTCAAGTGAAATATTCTTTCTAGTGTTATAGGAACAGAGTAGCTTCTGATCTATGCTTTTGTAAATCGTTTCCTTAAATTATTTTCAAAGAAAAAAGAATCAGCTGTATGCTTTTTTTTTTCCTTAACGTAAATTCACAAGACTCAGTTTAAGCGATTCACTTGTGCTTTAAACTATATTGTGCTATATGTTTGCATAAAATACTTGTATTTGATAATATCTTCAAAATAATTTATGTCATGGTTTTAAAATCATTGCACATTTAGAAAAGTGAAAGGTCTCAGTTATCTAGATAGCCTCCGGCTTTTTAGTTTTTGTGACTTTTGTCATCTGGTAGATTATATACCCTAAAAAAGCAGAAGGATCTAAAATGTCTCAAGGCAGGAAAATTTCTGAATGTGTTGTTGTTTTTTTTCTTTTTGTTTGTAATCATTCATTTACGTTAGCTTTTAGAGCAAGGCATAACTTTTTCCTGCGGATGGACGGCTTTATACAGGACCTGGAGCCCAGCACACAGGATTGTGTTACCCAGGCAGTCAGTCAGAACTGTCATCATTGCTCTTTGCATTGTTGATTGTAGGTAGCTTAATAGCTAGCAGTGTAAATTCTGAATTTAATCAATTGTTTATTTTCAGAGGTTGTTTTGAAATGTTTCTTTTTCCTATTTGAAAATTTGATGGTTTTTCAGTGTGTGAGAAATGGAATTAAATTTTAAATTACCTTTTGACTAATTTTAGAAGTATAGCTTGGGACCTGAGAGACATTTGCAGTCAAAAGTTCCCTTTAAACTCATCCTTCTCTCCCAAGACCTGAAATTACTTTGAAAGGAGTAGTGGCAGAAAAAATAGGTAGAATTATCTCTGAACTGCTCATGTTCTAGAAAGAAAGGTGGAAGAAAAATTTTAAGGTGGTGTGCTATTTCAGAATGACTCCAAAATCATTTTATCCTTTATAGATATAAGCAACAGTGATTTCAATGAAACTGAATGTATGCATAGCATATAACCTGAAAATATTAACTGTAGATATATGTCTGTTTTAGTTGGAATTTTCCTGTATTAAAAATACCAATTGAGATGTTTTAAAAATTTTAAAAAACTGATAAAATGAAGGATTTTAGTAAGACTAATAGTGTAGGTATTAGGTCTTTTTTTTAAATAGAGAAATGGAAAGGATATAATAGATAGGATTTCATTAAGCCCCAAAACATTGGTGTTCACATTTTGAAAACATAATCATAACTTATCTGGAGTCACACGTTCCATTTTATTGGCTTCCTTCATATAGAAAATATAGTAACTAGCACTAAATACCTGTGAGAAAGTGAAGCAATGTATATTTTCTGGGTGAAGGAAGTATTCTGTACATTCTCCATGTTTTACATCATGGTATTTTGAATAACCATGCTTCCATGTTCACATCAATTTTTTGTTTTTCAATTTATGCACAGCACTTGCTCTGAAATTTGGGGACTGAGTACACCAAATACGATAGATCAGTGGGATACAACAGGCCTTTACAACTTCTCTGAACAAACCAGGTGAATATTCTGCCCTCTGTCAATCCTAGAGATCTTGTGGGAGGGGGGATTGTTTTGGAAGACCTCTACTGGGTTGCTTAGTATAATTTTGCCTAGGATGTTTCCTTAATGTGAAAAAAGGCATAGCATTTAAACTATGTGCTTGCCAGTATTAAAAATATTAAAGTGTTTCAACTGATGTTTTGATCATTGCAGTCTAGTTCTGAATCTTCTTTAAATTGAATCCCCTAATGGATAAGAATTTTGATAACTATATACTCATTGTAGTTCAATTTTAGATTAATTTGTTGGCCTAATTTTTAAGCAAATGATCAGTTTTTGCTAAATTTCCTGTTATCTAAATTTCATGTTTATATACTAATACATAGTATTTACTGAACTATCACAATTAACAATAGGCTAACTCATTTTTATGTTACCTTTTTTAAAAAGTCATCTCATTCATTTTAAGTATATTGGTATTTGTCCATTTCATCCCATCATATTCATCACCATCTGCATTTCTGTGTCAGCAGTGTAAATATACCTCAGTTATCAAAATAGTGACAACTGAATAATGAGCTGTGTTAGTCTGAGTAAGGTACTGTCACATCATTGTTGATATTTATCATTCTTCACACTACTTCCTTTTTTCTGACTCTTAAGTTATCTATAGAAATAAGGCTCTTTGAAGCACCTCTAAAAAAGAATTTGACTTATTAAAGATAGATGCTGATTAAAAAGTTTATCAAGTATGACCATATGATATTCTTTTTAAAAGATGAATTTTCTCCTTGTGGTTAGCCTTTCATTGGCATTTGAGTCATTTATGTAGCATATTGTTGGGAAACATCTGCTAGTGCTGCTGCTTGTTTTATCAGATCCTTAAAAAGTACATTTTTCTTCCTAGTTCTTGCTAAAACTAACTAAATAGCTCATTCCTTTCTTTATACTCTAAGTGTATTATATTACCTTTGCCCATTTGGCTGTACTTTTTTTTTTTTTTTTTTTTTTTAAAGTTTACTCCTTTCTTTTGCCCTTGCTTCCAAATAGGTCTCTTGATGGTCGTCTTCAAGTTTCACATCGAAAAGGATTGCCACATGTTATATATTGTCGGTTGTGGCGCTGGCCTGACCTCCACAGTCATCATGAACTCAAGGCAATTGAAAATTGTGAATATGCTTTTAATCTAAAAAAGGATGAAGTATGTGTAAACCCTTATCACTATCAGAGAGTTGAGACACCAGGTAGGATAACTGCCGAAATTTTTCCTGGTTTTAAATTAAATGCCTAAACTTAAGGATATTTAGGTACTCTTGTGGCACAGGGAAATTTTAATGTAAAATCTATTTTATATCAAGTGTATTTAGTAATTAAAATTTTTAGATGCTGTTTTGCTTTTTAATAAGAAAATGTATCTTAGAGGGAAAGATGTCAGTTTCTTGGGACTGTATGCTATTTTGACATCCAGGTATGTCTAGGAAACCCCATGGGTTTTCTCACTCTTAATAGCAAAACCAATAGACCTCTGTATAACTGTTCACTACCTGTTTTCAAGCATTTTGCTTTGTGAGTGCTAGATTTTGTGAGTGAAGTAGATTAATGACCATATTTGTATATAAGCCTTTTAAAAATAATCTAGTTAGCTGTGTGCTTGAATGGGTTGTTTTTTGTTTTTTTTTTGTACCAGGGATTGAAGTTGGGTCCTTGAGCTTGAGAGGCAGGCGGCAGAACCACTGAGCTAAATCCCCAGCCCTTGAAATTTTTTAAAACTACATTTTATTTATTTATT